CCAAAGGCTTTGGCTGAGCAAATTAGGTGTCAATGGGGTGCCCGCGCAGGCAGTACTCTCTCTAATTAGTCTCTTGAGCCTAGTTGGTGGCGGGTATGAGATGATCTAATCAATTGGTCTGTGTCTGATGGTTGGTGTAAAAATCCTACCAGGCAGACTCTCTCCCACAGGTCATCCACCTGCACAGCAGGACTCCTCATTTTCATTTCTCATCTCTTCCATCACATGATGCTGACAGTTGGTTTTAAGAAAATTGAATCCAAAAAATATCTAGTTCATAGGGCACATGGGTCAGAACAAAGTTGCATTATGGGTACCAGTGATCCAATTAATTAATATTTATAGCTGAGAAACTCTATGTAGATACTTCTGAATAAGGATTTTATCAATCGAATCCAATTTCTTCTTTAAAACATTCATTTTAGAGAAAGCTCATTGTGAAAACTGAAAACTAGATAAAAATGGCGCCCACCTGTCTTAGGATTTACATACCTACGAGCAGCTGTGCGCGCCGACCATTCAGCTTACAGTTTGTGTTCACTGTTCATTTGTATTGTGCCTGTGACGTCCTTTAAGTAACAATCAAATGTAAGAGGGAGATTTACATTGGCATCATAGTTTACTTGCCTGTCAAAGCGTATCTTCACTCCTTCAGCCTAAATCCCCCACCCATGAAATACTTGATTGCACTTAGATTTCTAAAAATGTTTTAGGTGCTTTCAGTTAATGATTCCCAAGGTAGGAGGATGAGCATCCTGTGCTCTGTAAAAGCATCAGGCAGGGAAGATGGTACAGTATGAGCTTTTCAGAGTCATCTCACAGAGGTGGGAGGCGTACTGTCATTGGCACTTCCTCTATTTTCTTCTTATTAGGTTCTTCCACTAAATGTCAGACCCCAAAACTAAGTGACAGATTTGCCGTAACCACTGCATTCACCACTTACTAGACAGTTATTGCTAGTGTTTACGGCCCTTAATATTTAATTCTGCTGTACCTTAGGTTAAGCATGTATGATTCTCCTACAGATTGCAGTCAGAATCAGGACAACCCAAGGCCAAATAAATAGTATCAGTGTGTAGAAAACATCTTTAATGAACTTGAGAGGATAGTAAAGTATATGGTGTCAACATAACTTATTGTTATGTGAAGTTACACATATTGTAAATCAAAACATTCTTTTTTAATATAATGTAATGGAGTAAAAAATATATTTTTCCTATACCAAAAAATAAATCCTTCCCACCATTCTTGACTGGTGCTGTGTCTGTCAATAACTTTCTTCTCTATACCAATTGGGCAATGTGGCTGAAATAGCTGCTTATAGTTCCAACTGTCCCAGCCACAAGAAAAATCTGTTTAGCTTCAGTGAATGTGCCATTCCTACCCATCCCTGTGCTTTTGGATCCTTCCTTTTTATTTTCTGTTCCTTCCTCAACTACTTTCTGTGTACCTGAGCTGTGCCTGTGTCCTGTTAGGGATAAGACTTGGTTTAGTCAGTAATTTAATTATTCCACACGCATCTTTAACTTGCTTCCTCAAAGGAAATATATCCAGGGGAACTAAGTGCCTGGTTTAACAAGTCAGCTTGGGCACCAGGTCTCCCTTCTGTTGGTTACAGTGGTAAGAGCGAGGAGAACCAAGGAAAGACTGCATCGTTTGGGGAGAGTCATAAGGGTCCCATGCCTAAACAGCGAACACACACAGCTCTTCTGGATGGAGGGGTAGTCTCCCTGGAAGAGTTGGGACCTCATTCGGCTTCAGCTTCATGATATAAAAAGGACATCTCTGTCATCTGCTTAATAAAATGGTCAAAATTGGTGGTGAGATGGGGACTGGACAAGGATGATTGAAATAGAAAGTGCTGTGGAAATACTGTAGGGACAAGTGTTCTCTCTCCTTGATCTCAAGGACCTTAGAAAGAATTTTCATGTATAGCTCAGAATGTGTGCAAAGTGCAATTTCTTTCTTTTTCTGCAAGAAAGGGGTAGAGGTGGAGCTCTAGGGGTTGTTCCATGTTCTTGCTTGTGCTATGCTTGTGACTTCTTCTAGAAGAGATTTAATAAAGGTGTCTTTGGGGCAGAGGTGAGGGATAGATTCCTGTGGATAGAGATTGCTACCCAGAGCAGCAAACATTTAAAATAACAATGGATGAGTTAGGATTTGGAGGTAGCAAAGGGTTTATGTGCAGTATCTCTCCAGACCAAGACTTCTCCAGGAAACATGATCAGAGGCTTTGATTTACATCCCATCCAGTCAGGTGGCAGAGAAGTCTCAAGAATAGAAGGTGATACCTCCTTCATGCCATAACCAAAATGCATGAAATGGATGAAAGAACCAAAACTATAGGAAATCATAGAAGAAAACATAGGATCAAATCTTTAGATTTCGCTGTGCATTTTTAAATGTGACACCAAAAGCATAAGCAATGAAATAAAAATATTAAATTGAATTTCATCAAAATCCAAAGAATGTTCTCACTGGCAGTCCATATTAGAAAGTTATTTTCAAGTTGTATATTTGATGAGAAATTAATGTCCCAAGTGCACAAAGAACTGCAACTCAGCAGCAACAACAAAATGAATTGAATAGATATTTCTCTGAAGAAGCATTTCCATATGACAAATAAGATCATTAAAAACATGTTCAACACCACTAACTGTTAGGAAAAGGCAGATCAATAGAAGTAAGTCAGTTCACCATAACAGAATAACTATAGTTAAAAAACAAAGAAAAAACAAACAAGTGTTGACCAGGGTGTGGTGAAATTTGAATACTTCTTCATTGTAAGCAAGGAGCTAAACAGTGCTCTCACTATGGAAAGTTTTGTCAGTTCCCCAAAACTTTAAAAGTAGAGTTTCCATTTGACCTGGGAATTACACCTGCAGGTATATAACCAAAAGATTCAAATCAGGCATTGGAGCAAACACTTGCCACTTGCCACATCAGTTTTACTACTGTAAAACTACTACCACAGGGTAATACAATTCAAGCATAAATTAACTGATGGATAAGGATCATGCAATATAGCCATATAATGAGACATTTGTAGCTGGAGTCTCCAGTCCCATCTGGGCCGCAGCCACTCAGACCCAAATAAACACACAGATGCTTATATTATTTAAACTGTTCAGCCTAATGGCTCAAGCTTCTTGCTATCTAGTTCTTATATCTTAAATTAACCCATTTCTATAAATCTATACCTTGCCATGTGGCTCATGGCTTACCGCTACTTTGCATCTTGCTTCTCATGGCAGCGGCTGACAGCGTGTCGTCACCCAGCCTCCCACTTCCCAGAATTCTCCTCTCTCTTTGTCCCACCTATACTTTCTGCCTGGCTACTGGCTAATCAACACTTTATTTATTAACCAATCAGACAGAGCAACCCATTCACAGCATGCAGATATCCACAGCAGACATTACTCAAACATTTCATAAGATAATGAAGTACTGATACATACTACAACATGGTGAACCTTAAAAAAATTATGGTAGTTGAGAGCTGCCAAATGTAGCAGCTCACACATTGTGTGGCTCCCCTTAGATGAACTACTCAGAATAGGTAATACCATAGAGAAAGGAAGATAGTTGGTGCTAGTCAGTGGGTAGGACAAAGGACCATGAGAATGACTACCGTGAATGGTGTCATCTCCTTTGAAAGTGCTGAAATGTTTTGAAACTGGATAGAGATGACTATATAGAATTGTGATTGGACTGAGTACCACCCAAATATACACCTTGAAATGGTTGATTTTGTGTTACATGAATTTCACCTCCATTGAAAAAAAAAGAACTGAAGGTGGGGGTAAAATTCTAAAAATTCATCAGAGTAAGTGATGATCAGTAGAGGGTAGGGATGATGATGTTCTAATGTGTCTTAAGTATAAGAATGGAACGTTTTGTACTCTTGGTTCATGCACTGCTAGTTCACTCCCAGGCAGGGAATGTCCTCAATGCTGCAGCCCATGAGAGCAGTGTCAAGGCAAGTGGATAAGGACTCTGAAATAGTCAAATCTATGGGAGAGCTTTGGCCAACATCTCTTCTTCGGCCAGCAGGATGACAAGATGGTCCTGTAGATGATGGCAGGCAGGCCTGTAGATGATGATGGTCCTGTAGATGATGGCAGGCAGCCCTGTAGATGATGATGGTCCTGTAGATGATGGCAGGCAGCCCTGTAGATGATGATGGCCCTACCGATGATGACTAAGCAGTGACCAGGAACAAGCTTCTAAGCCTAGTTGTCAAGTGGGTTCTGGGATGAAGTGGAACTAATTCATCAACTCCTTCAACCGTGGGACGTGAACTTGGGAGTTCCACACTTCATGCAACTAGACGTTCTCTTTCCTACCCCAAGGTTCAACAAAGACGAATAAGAGCTTTTTTAAAAAGTATAGAAAGATGTACAAGGATTCCCTACATTCTCACTGGTACCCTTACTACATTTTCAAGCCGGGGTCTTTGGAAGCATGGAGGCTTGTGCAGAATGTTGGGAAGGAGGTACCACGCTGGCCAGCTTTCATTCTGGTGATATAATATAACTGATAATAGGCAACCAAGGCAACCATGGCTGGTTTTTAAAAGCATGTGTGCGATCCACTTTTCTCTTTCTCATCCATACAAGCAAATGTGATGATCTGTCCTTCTAATGCTCTGGTGCTCCGGGCACTTAAGACCAGCATTGCTTTAATAGGTTAGGGAAGGAATTTAGCTGGGTGTATTTTTCTCTAAATAGTCTAGGAGGAATTTAGTCCATTTAAATTCACAGAGTTACAGTATTTCAAGGGAAGAAAATGTAGTCGGGACATTTGTTTATCGTATTTAAGAAATGTTTTCATAAAGGAAATTATTCTACCTCCTCCGCTGCGTGTGCCCCGTGTAGCTGTGGATAACAGTGGTGGGCTCAATTTAGCCTGACCAATTTTAGTGTCTCAAGTAATTTAGTAAAAATGAATGATGTCAGTTTTTTTCTTAATGTAACAATTTTCTCTTTTCCTCCTTCCAGGATTAAGTTGTCATCATTCTGGGAAGAAAAAGAAGAAAAAATACAAAAATTAAAAAAAAAAAAAACACTAATGAAGTGGCCAACAGTGCCGGGCTCCTGGATCAGTTCCCTTCTGCCCCCTGTGGTGGATTTCACTTACAAGAAAATTGAAGCTGGCAAGACCCTGTTTTCTCTGCAATTTATTTAAAACCTTGCACGCATTTGGATACCTTGTGATTTCCAAGAACTATGTGAAGATTAAGCTTTGCTTACTGATACATGGCATGTATTCTTTTCAGTCTTTTGTGTTTGATTCTGTTTGATTTCCCTCTGCTGCACAGTGTCTCTGTGAAGCTTTTCATGTTTTCACCAGCCATGTCTTAAATACATGAAGACAACACATTTGGTGTTCACACTTCCTCAGTAATGTCTGCACTTGAAAGCACACAGTGGCATGAGACAATGTGTGTTTTCTTTGGAACAGAGTGCATTCTTCAACCACCAGGAAGGATATTCTTATTGCTAAAACAAACCCCATGCTTTCTGACTGACTAGACACCATGGTCCCAGACAGTGGGGCTCGACCTGTTGCTTACTTTTGAGGACGTTTGGAAATGTCCCCATATTTATAGGAGCCCAGAATCTGCTTAGTATTCCCAATAGTTTCTGAGCAGGTTGTGGGTAGAAAAACAAGCACCAAGAACAAAGACAGGAATGAAGGCTATTTGTTTGTTTGGTTTTTTTTTTTTTTTTTTTTTTGAGTGTTTTTCCTTTTAACCTGTAGAAAGCAAGTCAACTTTTACATGTATTCTGGGTCTTGTCAACATTTTATTTTTTCCATTAGCTCTGTTATGCTCTTTATTTTTTAACTGGAGAAAATAGTGAGGAATATCTTTCTTAAAACTTGGGTGCAAAAAAAAAAAATCTGTCGGGGTGAGTCCTGGAAGCCATCTTGACTGATTAATGCTTAAAAGGCAAATTTAAAAATTATCTACAGTTAAAATTTTTTGCTCACTTACAGCAAAGCACCTTTGAATTGATTGTTCAGAAACATTCCAAGCCATTCAGAAGGCATCACTGGGTACCAGACTTTAAACCACTCTCCCGTAATAACTGTTCAAATTCAGTTCTTAAAAGCAATTCGGGAATTTTGCTTTAAAAAAAGAAGTGGCAAAGGAAGGTCTGGCTTCCCTTGTTTTAAGGAGCTCTGGGACCTTGGAAAGTTTGTGTCACAGGGAGAGAGGACTCTGGCATACACTGCACCTTGATCTGGGGGAGTTGCCCGGTGCCGGCCTCTTCCATAAGCAGCCTCACCACAGAATCCCAGGAAAGCTGGGCCCAAGGGGCAGTAAGGAAACTTCACATAAAGCGTGCCCTTTGCACTTCCTGACACAAATCCCCATGGAATCACATCTGTACACATTGTTTTATGTTTTACTGTTCCTGAGAAAAGAGGAAAAACTAAGAGCTTGAAAGGTGTCACAGTTTTAGGATCAGGACTGGGAATTATGATCCCCTTTGACAAGGGCTTTCTGATTCTTGAATGAGGGGTGGGCTTCTTTGTAGTCAAACCCAGTGTGTCCCTGGAAGTAGAGCCAGCTTCCTAAACTTTCAAAGGCATTGCCTCTGAGTAATAAGCATAGCCCACCCTCTAGCCTATCCAGAGGGAGCAGGAACTGCGATCTTGAAAACACTGAGCAAGAAATTGCTTCCTGTGAATGGTTTGGAAGAAGGCAAAAGTGTCACGCAAGGTGACAGTGTTTACTGTTTGCTGCCCGGGAATAATTTTCATCCCTCTTTCATACATTCCTTCCATGGGAAGTCTTTACAGGTATTTTGATTTAAAGTATAATTAAATTGGGAGTTCTTTAAGTGGGGAGAAAACTTTATGTATAATTAAAAACAGCCTCCCCTGTGATTTGCTTAGAATCCTCCATTCATCTGGGGGGGTGGAGCATCATGTTTATATTTCACTAAGTATAAGTCAGGAGCCCCATGCTAATGTTAAAAGGTTTCAAGTAAGAAGGTAAAGGCAACTAGAGATCCATGTCCTTGTCTAGACAGCTTCTCCTGGGAAGTAAGACATAACACTGCTCGGTGTGGGGTCTGCCTCAAGTCAGGCACCTCTCAGGTTAGAAGGGTTCCAGTTCCCATCCTTGTCATCAAGGAAGGAAATCCAAAGTGTCTGCCCCCCTTCCAGCCTAGCACAGTCACATCCCCCTCCCCTGCTTTTCTCTCCTGCCCTCTCTGAGGGCATCATGAAAATCAGTACAGACCACATTCATTAACCTGTTATTATACTATTGAGAAAGCGCTGGAATGCTTGGTGAGATTATTTTTCTATGAAGGAATAGCTTGAGTTTAGACAGCTGGTAAGAATAGCACGGACACCTTGGCATGGCGATTGTATCCACTCCCCCTCACTGCACACAGTATTTGGAAAGGAAGTATGGTACTTAGTTTCTATCTTCTTAAGGGGATCCGTTTAATTCATTAAGAAATACAAGATACATAGGACGCAAAAATGTGTTTGCTGTACTAGCCAAAAAATTAGAGGTATAAGTCAGGGGGAGCTGCCATGTAAGGATGAGAATGTATTTCTAGCTCTCAAGTGACTAGAAAAGCTTCCAAGGGAGCCTGTGGGGATTTAGGAAAGCCAAGACCTCTTGGTACCCTTCCCTCTCTGTATGTGACAGCCACTATAATCAGTACCCTGTGTATGCGTACGGGGCAGACACGCATCTGTGAATATTATGGTTTGTAATCTTCTGTTATATAAGAGGATGTTTAGGTTGTACATACCGGGGTAGATTGTTGCCTGCCCCTATACATAGAAATATGCTGCATAATTGTGCATAACTTCCTTCTCCTTTCCTGGCTTGTACACAGAGGAAACTGTATGTTAGCCTTCCGTTTCCTCGTACGCCAAACTGAAAATTTTTAAATCTCAAATGAAATAAGCGATTTCCTGTTCTCACTACCCCCTTTCACAGCAGCATATATTAGAGGCACATATAAAATCTACATTCTTTGTGAGTGGACTTTCCATTTTTCCTTGTTTCCTTTTTTTTCTTCCCCCCTTTGTTTCTATGATGCACTGAGTTGTGTACTTTTTAATGGGGTTAGTACCTCAGATACTCATTATGCTTCAACATGACACATAGCAAGGAGAATGGAATACTACATGTTGCCTATGTGTTGCCAATTGTATTTTGTCTGTATTATGAAGAATGTAATGGTTTGTCAGCTGTCATTGTTGTTTTCTGTAACATGATATGGAATAAAGTATAGCCGAATCTGCATATATCATCTTGGTACATATTCATGTGTGTCCAATATAGCTTAAGACTGACCACAGTTCTGAAAGAGTAACATAAGAGACCAGATGCACAGTTTATGGGAATAAGTGGGTTCCTGGAGGGTTCTTGAACTCCTGTCCTTTCTTTCTTTGCTGTGGAAACACAGGGGCCCTGTCAGCCAAAGCTGTGAGCCACGGGGCTTCCCCTGGCCCTATGCTCAGGTTCCCACATGTTCTACCTAGCTCAGATACATTTGGAGCCTCTCCGTTTGTTAACTGCAGTCATATTTTTTCCTCACTCTTCTCTGGCCCTACACACATCCCCATATGAGGTGAGTGGCTGGCCTCCCGGTGCATCTGTGACCCCTTCTAGAGGGCACCTGTGCCCAAGCGAGCAGGATAGTGCTGGGAGCCCTCATGTGGGTATTGACAGCTTGGGAGACACTTCCTTTTCCTTGTGTCACCTTGTTGGAGCTGTCACACCCCAAACACACCCACATGGTTTCACAAGTCATTAATAAGGGTCATGACAAATATAGCTTTCAGTGTACAGAGGATATTTGCTGATTTGAAACTGTTTGCAAGGCTACATTCCGTTTATGAAGCCTCAGGCACCTGGCTTCCTCTCTGTAGATCCCTTCACACCAAGAGCAGCCAGCTCTCCTTCCTTTGTTCTTCTGCAGCCACTGGATTTTCTGTTTTTAAGTCCTCTGCAAAGCCGCATTTCCATAGTTAAATAAAACGGTTCTTAGCCTATGTGTATTCCACATAAAAACAGCTCATGTGAGCCACTGGTCCTCAGTCCCCAGCTGCTTCACTGTGGTCTGTAAAGCACAGAGGTACCTGTGCTAAGGGCAAATTCATTTTGAGACAGTTGCTACATCATCACCTCTGTATGTTGAGATAGGGGACTGTATACAGGTGGCCTTCACAATAACCAAAGTAGCAATAGTTTGCAAAATTGGGCATCCATAAGCCACTGTGGAAAGCAACCAAAGTCACATAAGTGTAAAAAATAACTTGTTCTGGGAAGGTGTTTCAAAGAAGCAAAACCTAGGGTCATCCTTCACTTCCAAACAGCCATGTGGCCTCTGTTGGGAGTCATTCCCAGCAGCCTCAGCAGCTAGCGTACATTGCAGAGCTTGACTGCATGCCACCGTTGGTTTAATGACATGAGCTCTTAATAAACCAAAGGGAGATGGAGGACTGGAATCTACAAAAGGCAAAGAAATACATCTGAGAAATATTTTTAACTTTCTTAAAGTGGTGGCAAAGATGTCAAGCACCCTCTGAGTTCCATAATTACCCAGCATTCCTTCTTTTTCAGCAGGGGCTACTCCACCTCTGGCGGGATGTGATGTGTGCTGTCTGAGCCAGGCAGTTAATCTGGAGGACAGCACTCCTGTCGCTGCTGTTGGCCCCAGAGTGTAGAGGAACCAGAGGGCAAGGTGTTGGAGCAACCTTATGCCACTGGGTTAGCACGTACAGTTGCTGCATAATGGCAGGCATTGTAAATAACCTCAGTGAGAGCCCCACAGTGGCCCAGCAGCCTGCTGCTACCAGTGGGTGGTGGCGTTATGGGCATTAGCTTTGAGCAGCTTATATAGCAGAGGGGCTAGGATAAAGGACACAAATCAGGGAAAAACTGACAAGATTAAAAAAAAAAAATCCAAGGCCCCGTATTTACCGTTCATCCCCCCATGCTCTCTGTGTGCTGTATTGTCTGCATTGAGTCGTGCTGAGAAGGAGCCAGGCACAATAATAGCTCAGAGCAGCCTCGCAGCCCCATAACCATCCTGTGCCAGTGGTGCTGACAGAGCTAGCTGAGAATGGGATTCTGATAGAGTTGTCTTTTCCCCACTTCCCTGTGAGACCACCAATTATTATAGAAGGCATACTGCAAAGACATAGTAAGGGTCGCCTGTTGGGGTGTATCCTGAAAAGTGACCCAGCAGGGATTCCTGCAAAGGTGTGTGCTATGCAGCCCAAGGGGGCCTGCCTGACACGTGTACATAGTCCAGAGAAGTCCGGGGACTTGTCTGAACTGCCAGTTCAAGGGCAGAGAGAAGCTCAGAACTGAGCTTTATAAATAACACTATGGAGAGAAACAATAATTTCTCTCTCTCCTTCAGCCTCAGTAACTGCCTTGCTTTCTCCAAAGAAAGGCTGCAGTTCACTATGCTCCAAGCAGACACAGGTCTGTGACTATCTTGCCCAACCCTTGAGAAATTCCGAACCTCATGCAGTCATTCACTAATCCAGCGGCTTTCAGACCTGACTCTTGTTGGAATTACCAGGAAGTTTTAAAAACACCTCCGCCCCAAACCAATTCATTCCAGAACTATCGAGGGCGGGGACCTGGCACTGATTTGTTTTGGGAACTCAACAGGTGATTTATTGTGCAGCCAGCGTGGGAACTGCTCCACTGTCTTTCCTCCTGCCTGTGGTCCACTGTAGACACAGGTAGCACCTTCTCTGCATGGGCCAGAGAGGAAGAACTTTGACTTGTCAGTTCTATTCAATATGCCACAGCTACCCACTTTACCATTGTTGTGTGAAAGTGGCCATTCACACCACACACACACACACACACACACACACACACACACACACACACACACACACACACGTGCAGTGTTCTGATGAGACAGTTTGCACATTCAGACTTGGGTTTCATGTAATTTTCACATGCAAGAAATATTGTCTTGATTTTTAAAAGGTATTTATAAGTATAAAAATAGGGCCTAGAGAGATAGCTCAGTAATAAAGAGCAATTGCTGTTCTTGCAGAGGACAGGTCCCCAGCACCCACATGGAGGCTCACAACCATCTGTAACTCCAGTTCCAGGGGATGTGACATTCTTCTGGCCTCTGTGGGTATCAGGTATTTACAATGTGCACATATATACATGCAAGTAAAACAAAAGAAATGTTGAACTCTTGGTTTAGGCTGGAGTTAATTTTCTCATTCAGCGGAATAACTGTGAGTCTCCCCGTTTGTACTTGGTGTAGAACATATTAGTTAAACAAGGGCTTCCTAAACCCTTTTCATTTGCCATCCCTTTCTGTGTGAGAAAGTTTTACAGTGCCCTGGATATATAAGTATGTAAAATAGATACACAAATCAAACATTTGCTAATTGTACATCGTTAGCTTATTTTAGGGCTGCAGAGGTGGCCCAGCTGATAAAAGTACATGCAGCCAAACCTGACAACCTGAACTCAATCCTTGGAACTCACAGTGTGGAAGGAGAGAGTCAACTTCCTGAAGTTGTCCTCTGACCTCCAAATGTGGCCCATGGTTCATGCTATTGCACACACATAAACAATAAATGGATGTCAAGTTTTTTTAGTTAAAACAATTTCTAGGTATGAAAATAATTTTACCTTTTACTAAAAACAAAAGGAAATTAGCATGCTATTGAGGTAGGTGTGTTTAGTTATTTTTACAGAGAGAATTAAATTTTGGCAGGATATTTAATACTATGGAACACAGCATCTTCAATGATTTTCAGATCTCAGTGTTTTGATTTTACTATTGCCAATGCTAAGAAAGAGCCAGCTCAGAAAGGGAAAATCTGCCCTAACCCCAAGGCAAAATTTAGCCATTATTCTTGAAACTCAAATTAGCTATGTGGACTGCAACTGTCAAAATCAAACATTCTTAACACAATGCATTCTAAATGTACTCTTTTAATACATACATGTTGGAGAATCATGGCAGGAAATGATTAAAAGTCTTTTTAAAATTTTTTATTTTATGTATATGGCTGCTTTGCTGCATGCATCTGTGCACCATGGGTATGCAGTTCCCAAGAAGACAGAAGAGGGTGCCAGGTGTTCTGGAACTAGAGTTACAAACAGTTGTTGACTACCATATAGATGCTGGGAACCAAACCTGGTCTGCTGGAAAAAACAATACGTGCTCTTAACCACTAAGCCATCTCCCAGCTCTTTAAAAGTATCCTTTCCAAAATGAAATCATGTGGCTGTAAAAACAGCAGAAAGTTTTCTGTGTATAGTAAAAACAGTATAGTTTGTTGTATACATGTGTCTCAAGACATCAGTCATTAGAAGTGGGGGCATAGCGGCATATGCCATACAAAGTGCACATGCATCCATAACAAAGGCTATAGTGGTGTATAGTACAACACAGATGAGCACTGCCAGAAATATCTTGGAGTCACTGAATGTTTTTGACATAATTGTTGGTCATACACTCAGAAAACTAATGCTATTACCAAGTTTAAAGGACCCTACATTTAGTTACAAGATCCCAACTGGAGTTACAGACTGTTAAAGAAGCTGGGATTTAGACGTCAGCCCTGGTATGGGGACAGAGAAGGACTACTTCTAACATTTTCAAGACCTAGGATTGGAGTGAAAATGAAGATCCATGTTTCTAAGTCCTGAAAATACAAACCCAGCTAATGAAATTATTTGTTCCAGACCGTCACTTTGAAATATGTCTTCATAATGACCAAGAAGACCAGATTCTCACTTAGCGTTCTTGGACCTGGAGTTTCTCACCAAAACACAGCACTTCCTCCTCTCATGCCCCACATCATTTCAAAAATTATAGTATTGAGGTTTCTTTTTAATCTTTATGTCCTTCTGACTGAAAATGGTGCCCAGGATATAGCAGATGGTTAAAAGATAGTGTAGCTTAATTAAGACTGAAATGGGGATATCATTTCTCTTTCTATGAAAGGGGAAACTTCAAAGAATGTTAGTGTACTAAATGGATAATATATGCAGTAATAGAGGATTTTATGCAAGGCATTTCCTGGCTATAAGAACTGATCTTTGTGGTACTAAGACCATGTTGGAAGCCATATGGTTAAGAAGAAAGGGCAACATAGAACAATAAAATAATCAAAAAGATCTTTTAGGGACTTTAAACAAGACATAAATATGAACTAGCTGGAAAAAGTAAAAGAGTATACTATAGCAATGTATTTGATAAATAGCAATTAGTGTCTACCATGTATCATGAATGTTCTGAG